ATTGGTAAAAGTTGGTAATCATGTCAAAATTTTTTAATAGCGATTAAAGGGCAAAATATATAACTGTTTTTGACACTTCTTTTCTCATAATTTTGACGTAATAATTAATTGTTGCCAATGTGTTTGAATTCGTATTCAGCAAGCAGAAACACATTGGAATTGATTCACACTTGTGCGATGATAAGAAGGTTAAATTTCTCCTACAATATAATCAAATCATATTGATTTGCAAATATCTAACCGGATGGATATAACATTATTTATGCAGTAATTATGAATACAATCCGATTACTGAAATTTTTATAAATACAAAACAATTTTGAAAAATATGCAATTAAATTTACATAGTCATGTTTTAGTTTTGGTTTTAGTGTACTCTTTTTAACTTCTATAATTACATTAATATAATAATATGTAATATATATTATGTATGTGTCAAATTAAACATACACAAAATTCATTTTATCAAAATTTATTTTATTTGTTCTAAGAGATAAACAATATTGATGTTTATCTCTTAGAAAATAATTATATTAGTTATGAATAGAATAATTATATTTAATATATTCTAATGCGTTATAGTTGCAAGTTACATACATCATAAAGTATTTATCAAATACTTGTTAATTATTTTATTTAAATGTCAAGTAAAATAGCCATATTAAACCAAAGATAATAAATATAATGCTAATTATATGAAAAACTTCTATATGTAAATTATTCCAAAAATTTTATTATTTTTTAATAATTGTGTTCGAGTTTGTTTATGTTGATCTCCTTAGTATCAAATCTCCATATTTTGAATAATATAATAAAATATGAAATATTAATTTTCATTTTTATATCATTGTGTTAAGAAGGAATGCACTGACATATACTTGAACTTTTAACATATGCTAAATTGGAATCATTTCCGATTTATTGTATGAAGCACTGATATGACTAACTTACGGCTATAAAAGAACAATAATTTTCAAGGCAATCGATAGTACATACAAGTTTATTTAAACTGCAAAATCATTTTTTATCGACGTAACAAATGTGACAATCAAAGAATCATTTCGAATTTTTTAATATCTACGTATTTCATACTATTGCAAATAGTTGTATTAATGTTTGTATTAACGTGATTTTAAAGATAATTGACAGAATGACTATTGATCCAGCAAAGTCTATATCTGCATTTTACGCTGGACAGAGTATATTTTTGACAGGTGCAACAGGATTTCTAGGTAAAGTTTTTATCGAAAAGGTATTACGATCTTGTCCAGATGTTTGTGAAATATTTCTATTAATGCGACCGAAAAAAGGATTAAATGTTGAAGAAAGGCTTAAAAAAATGCTAAATTTACCGGTAAGTTAAATACAGTTAAGGTCATTCTACAATAACATCTCACAGAGCAGTCTATTTGATAAACATCGCACAAACATTAGATATTTACGTGACATTGTTTGGTTCAGCAACGTAAAATATAAATAGTGAAATATTTGGAATGGGGTAATTGTTACGATTATTATTATGTCAATAGAAAAATATTTTTAAAATATTGGATAAATACATATTTATATATATCTAATATTGACTATTACGAATATATTGTGTCGGCCTTTATACAAGTGGCGCTCTATGTCGTATTTTTAACAACGCACACCGCAAAACTGCTACTTTTTGAATAACATAAAAATATTCTATTATTAAATTTAAATGTTCAATGAAAAAAATTCTTTGATTTAAGTTGGGAATGGTTTATATGGAACCCCGCGCATCATTATTAAAGAAAGTGTTACATTATAATATAAAGTTTTATAAATATATATTTTTTGTATTAGAGAGAGAGAACGTACTAGAATGCGAAGTAAAATTTCTGCTAACGTTATTATATGTTTATCTGTATTTGATGTAGATTTATTAAATATATTTTAGGATTCATAAATGTTATAAGAAAAATGTTTTCTTGAATTAAAATATCCTTTTATTTTAGTTATATAATAAATTACGCAAAGAGCAACCTGCAAATTTTGAGAAATTAATTCCAATTTCTGGCGATGTCAGAGAAAAAGAATTAGGTTTATCGGTTGCAGACAGACAAATGCTGATTGAAAGAGTGACTATAATAATTCATTCAGCGGCTAATATGAAAATGCATGATAGTATAAAACGTGCCATATTTGGCAATATCAGAGCAACAAGAGACATTTGTATTTTAGCTCAAAATATGAAGAATTTAATTGTAAGTCGAAAAGAGAATAGCAGTGATTGTGCTTATGTATTCATGAAAAATTGATTGTATTGCATGATTTTATATTACAGCAATCTCAGATTCGCGTAAAGCAGGCACGGCAGTGTCGCGCGCTTGGCTTAGCACCGAGACACTACCGTGTCTCCAGATATATGATCAAATTTTTAATCTCAATAACAGTTTAAATAAAATAAGTTGAGATAAATGTAGATAATTAAAATTCTATAATGTAACGACATTTATAATGTAGAATGTAGATAAACTGATTATCTCTTATCATTATACAAACTTATTTATAAAAAAGAATATTTTGAGAAAATGTAAATGTGTTTTCATGTGAATTGATATTATGTGTTTAAGGCATTGGTGTATATTAGTACAGCGTTTACACATGTACATGAACCATTTATTGAAGAAAGAGCATATCCACCTATAGCTGACTGGCAAAAGATAATCGAAATGGCAGAAATTTTGGATGAGCATACTTTAAATATTTTTACAACTAAGTAAGTTACAAACAGAAACCACCATCACAAATTTTGTAAATATATAGTTAGATATTAAGGGGATCCTAAAGCCTCCTGTATTTCCGACTAAATTAGATTTAGATGTCTAATTAAAACATAATTACGATACAAAAATCTACGTATATGTGTGGCGTGCGTGATTAAGATATTGATGTAGTGTTGTGTCAATATGACACGTAATCGTCTGTGTGTAAATGCTATTTCCAATATGATTAATTGTCTTAAGGATCGCCTTAACAGAATCTTTTTGTTTTCTAAAAACTTTTATTGAGGTTATTTTTTTGCGTTTTAAATGATATATTATATACAGGGAATGGAAAGTTACTTTTTAAAAGTAACTAGTTACAGTTACTCGTTACCGAGTAAAAAATGTAACTAGTTACAGTTACAGTTATCGCTTTTTAAAAGTAACTCGTTACAGTTACCGTTACTTGAAAAATAACTTTTCGTTACTTTTCCGTTACTTTTTTAAAATCAATTTAAAAATGTACTTTTGCATTTTTTTTTATATGTAATACTGACAAATATATA